TTCTGTTGTACAGTAAAGGTGAAAAATAGATGAAAGATAAAGAAAGAAGTTCGGACAGTTTCACTATTAATACTACAAAATAAATTTCTTTACTTAAGTAAATTTTGCTTACTTATCTTAAGAGAGTAAAAAAGCAGAAAACAACGAGCAATTATTTATTGTGACATCTAATGTACTAGATGTCACATTATTTATTATGATTAGTATACTTGGACTAGAGGCTATCTGCGAACTTCTAGTTTCTTCGGGACCCTTCTGAATACAAATATTATCATTTTCAATATTTTGTACTTTAATGTGTGATTATAAACTTTGTTCCCCAGTCTTTTGTCCTCCTTGGCAAAATGGATCCCAATCGGACCCTGTATAGTCGCGTAGTCTAGATCTATGGTAGATACTGGAACGAAGACACGAGTTATGAGCTGTCTAATCGGAGCACTTGGAAATTTTAGTCTCGTTGCTCTCTTTATTACAACAATGTTTTGTAAAAGTCGGCAGGCGATCGTTACATCCAATATTTAGACTCGTACATACGGAAGAAGAAAAAATGAAGAGGATCGTTGGATAGAATTCTCTTAGATAGGAAAATTCGTTCACTGTATATGTTTAAAACATGAATTTAACTGATATAATTAGTTTTCAGGGAATAGAACTCCATTTACATATACAGTATACATTTATCAAACTACATTTGATTTCTTAATGTATGCAGAATATTTTGTTTTTATCTCTCATAATCTAATCTTACTAAACAAAATATCTAATAAATTAAACTTTGAGCACGATGATATCAACACAATAGAATAAACCCACTATTAAATCGTTGTTATAATTCTGTTTATTTAAGTATGGAAGTACCAAAAGAATGGACATTAAAAAATTCATTATATTCACTACTTATTGCAGTAATTCTTATCTATCTCATTCGTTGGCTATTAAGAAAACATAAAAATTATCCTCCCGGTCCTATTGGATTGCCAATTGTTGGATACTTACCGTTTTTAAGTAAAGATGCTCATGAAAAATTATGTAAACTACAGAAAATATACGGAGGAATATTCGGGTGAGTTCCTATAATTATTGTACGTTTACCTTTTTAAAAAACATTTAGACATGTTTATTTTCTTTTAGTTTCTATTTAGGTAGTAAATATACGGTTGTTCTAAATGATTATTCTTCCGTGAAAGAAGGTTTAAATAATCCAAATCTTTTCTCTCGACCCCCAAATTTACCACTCGACGTTTTAAATGAATTTGATTCGACCAAAAGTAAGTTAATTAATAAACTGCGTATTTTTTCTGTTACTCGAATAATTTTTAAGCGGGTGAAACGTTTTTATAGCTGGATTCGGTGGTAAGTATTGGATAGAGCAACGTCGGTTCATGTTACACGTATTACGTGATCTCGGATTCGGCAAAAACAAAATGGAGGGATATATTACGGTAAGAGATATATAGTAAATGTAAATTTTATTTCTTAAGAAATTGCTAACTGTGTAAATATCCAGGAAGAACTATCACACTTTATCAACGAGTTGAAAGCTTTAAACGGCAAACCTTGTATAGCGAAAGAATTGACGATTCCGAGTGTATCCAATGTAATTTGTTNTATATATACCTTTTTCATTAGGTATGTTTACCCGTTTTTATTAGTTGATTGAAGTAATTATTAAGTAGCTTATTAATTAGCAAAGTGAGAAGATTTTATTACATAATTCTAGATTCGAATTCGATCAAAATTTTGGTAATAGATTTCGCTTATTGTAATTACTTTGGGGATCAGCTGTAATGATAATTACTGATTGATAACATTTTAATACTGTTGTTGTATTCACCGCACTACAGTTAATTTCATTGAACTTCCTAAACACTTCTTACTCTTCTTCCTTAAAGAAATTTATATGTAAAATATATTATTAAACTTAAATTTGTTATTGTACTACTTAAAATTATAATTAACTAATATTTATTAAAATTCATTAATTGTTATTACTCTGATATAAATAAACACTACTTTTTGATAATTCAAATTTAAAACAATTATTGTGTAAAAAGAAAACTTATTTTTCCTGATAGAAAAATCATGTTTTTTCAACATCGTTCTTGTTACATTTTCGTTTGATTTCGGCAGCATTAAGAAAATACCAAATTGAGATGTTTTTAAGCAAAAAAAAATAGCTTTAATGAGTGTTAAACACGACTAAATCAGTTAACTGAAATAACAGAAGTGTAAAACTTCGTCCTGTACAGAGAAATCAACAGAAATCGAATGGCTAACACTCTATAGATGGAAAAGAAAGTAGGCTACAAATCACCCTTCTTGATCAGCGAATATAATTGGCTGGTTTTGACAGAGTTTCAAATACAGTCAAACCTCGGTTGTCGAACATAATTCGTTCCTAAAATTTGTTCTAAAACCGAAACAAACTTTCCCATAAGAAACAATATAAAATGGATTAATCCATTCCTAACCCCATTTTACGCATCAAATGCTTCCAAATGCAAGGCAATATGGAATGTAATATAATACTGTATTATATATAATACATTTTTGTTATTTAATTTGACTTTAGCACCTTTAAACACGAATTTTTGAATGCCATTTATATTAAGTGAATATGAATTAACGCGATTTTTATTATTTTAATTCTCAGTTGTAAAATATATGCCGGGCTGTGATTGGCTCATACATTTGAGGATTCCTACAACGCGAAATTCTTACAAAGTGGAACGTATCTACCGCGTTATAGGGGGGTCGACTGTATTATGAACTAAATTTTTGCACCTATCGATAAAGAAATATTCCATTCAAAAAGTGTAGACCTATAAATTCCCATTGGCATCCGTCTGTTTTACTGTCTGTCTTGTCTCGTATATCATTCCTCGATCTCGAGAACGGAGTTAGATAGATGAAACACGAAACCAGATATGGAAGCTTATAGGTAGGTAGCCCCAATTAATTATATATGATGTTCCGGTTTAGACCGGTAGTCACGTTATTTTAATTCAAAGTTTTCTCCTGGACGCAGTTAGATAGATGATCTTCACAACTTCATTGTTAAAAGGTAAAGTATGATGTACAGGGGTAAGACACTACTAAACTTGAGAACATTGTGACGAAAATACAATGCTCTTAAGTTGCAGCCATGCATTGTGACGATGTCACAATAAAGGCATCGATACTTCGTTCTTACATTTATAAATATGACATCGAGTTAGAGTTATCGCATTGTTTAGATAAGTTTTCTTTCTTTACTTTATATTGATTCTAGAAATGTGTAGAAAGTGAAATAACACGTTGGGAAATTTCATAATATAATTTCAAAATGTAACGATATTAATAAATATCCATTTATATTAATTAATGACTAAATAAACAAGGTTTTTTCAAAT